CAGTTCTGTTCTGCACCCTAACCTCCTTCCTACTTTTTAGTTCCTTAGGTATAACTAAAATAAAAACCCAGCTTTTTTTTTTTTTTTTTTTGTTTTTTGTTTCTTTGACAAGTTTTGTGTGGTGAGGTTTTTGGTGTTGGTGTTTGTTGTGGTCTTTTTTTTCATTTTGTTTTTATGAATACTGCTAAGTACTTGAGAGAACAGCAGAAATTGTTGATTCATCTTTTGGAAGTTGAAGGAGCTGAAAAGACTTTGTCTTTTTCATTGGTGTTTTCTTTTTTCCCTTCTCTCCAACTAAAGACCTCAGCAAGGGTGGTCATCTTATGCTGCAGTCACCAAATCTGGGATCAGTAATTTATGGAATTTAGAGTAAAAAACCTTTGGGATTTTCCCTGTTTAGGTTTTTTGTTTTGTTTTGTTTTTTTTAAACTAAAGTTAGACCCTAATCTTTCTCTGTTTTGTTTCTTAGCTGTAATTTTTTTTAAATATGTTTGCAGAAACGCTTCCATACATTTTTGTGTACAGCTTTCTGTACACAAAAGTTAAGCCAAGTTAACCAAATTCTTCTCAATAAGATTCTATGCAACTTAATTTCTCTTGCAGTTGTAGTAATTTAGAAACCAACATGCCTTAAAGGAAGCACAACTTTGTCTCATACCAGCAGATCTAATTTTTAATTTTCTTCATTGGGAAAGGACTGGGGGAAGAATCTTATGGTTGTGGATCTGAGTGCTAAAAATCTAAGAGGAGATTTAACTATTTTGACTCCTCAAATATATATTCTCTTAGTAAATATGCATAAATACAGCAAATAAAAATGAAGGTGTAGGTGTAGTAACATGCCTTTTTTTTGATCTAGTTACCTCTTTAACTTTTCAGGGAATCATTGAAGTTTTGGGTAGGTTTCCTTTCATGGAAAAATGCCTAGCTTTTGCACAACACTCAATGTTTAGATTTATGCTAGTTTAACCACAGTCACTAAATAGAGTACATTACTTACATTATAGCACAGATGAAGTGCTGGTTAAACCATAACTTCTCTTTTTTAGAAGAAAATGCTTATTTATAAGCTGCTACTAATGCAGCAGAATGTGCACAACTGCTTAAGAATTTGTGCTAATTGCAAGTACCATTAAATTGCAGGGTGCTGGTGAAATGGTGAATGAAGCTGCCCTTGCAATGGAATATGGAGCATCGTGTGAAGATGTAGCCAGAGTTTGCCATGCCCATCCAGTAAGTGTTTTGTGAAGGGGCTGTTAAACACCATTACACAGCCAGGCTGTTACTCCATGTAGCAGTTAATGACTTGTAACTTTGTGTGCTTGCTCCCTACAGACAGTGTCAGAAGCCTTCAGGGAAGCAAACCTAGCAGCATCCTTTGGCAAAGCTATCAACTTCTAAAATGCAAGAGCAAATCTTTGTACATACATGGTACATCTCTGAAAATGGACTGTGGGCCCTTATGGAAGGCTGAATCTGAGGATTTTAGGACTGACTTAAGTGAATATCTTAATTTTAAACATCAGATATTTAAACAAGTAGAGTTTGGAACAAGTGGAATTATCCAGTCTCTGTAAATTAAAACATAAAATTACATGTTTATTTACACAATGAATGTTGCAGAAAAGCAGCCTGACAGAACTCTTTTCTTTTTGGAAACCAAACATTTTGCTGCTGCATGGGATTATCAGGTTTGCTGGTCAGAACTCTGGATGATTGTCCAGCATACCTTGTATTTTCTTATTTGAAGTAGTGTTACAATAAACCAGTTGCATACTGGCACTAAAAATGCCACTGGCACTTAAAATGCCACTGTCACTTCCGCACAAAAATGTGTTTCTTCTGAAGGGATTAACTTTGGTATTTAACCTCCTTCTTACATATGAGTACCAAAACTTGTTTTCACCTAGTAGTGTTGGGAAGTTGGGAGAAGAGGGGCTCGTGTAGATCAATTAAAATTATACTCACTTTTTAAAGAGAAAATTACTGTCTGTGTGATTCTCCACATCAGGTTTTCATATTGAAAACTCTTAAGGGGAAAAACTGAGTGCTGATTGAGAAATGAAAAATTGAAGATAAATTCATTGTACTGCTACCTAATCCCTTTTGGTTTTAAAGCTTCCATTGTCCAGCTGTCTTAAACTTGAAATGCTAAAACTTGGGTAGTGAAGCAGTGTTTGCTGTTAAATGCTATGGCATGAGGGTTATTCTGCACCTTCCACATGTAAGGGCTGCAGTGTCAGCTCTCCACACAATTAATTAAGACATACTTTCTTCTCTTCTGTTTTCTATTTTGTTCTCTCTTTCTATCTCTTCTGTAGCAAGAGAGCTTAATAAATACTTGACACGGCTGGAGGGTCTTGGATTTTGTTTGTTGATTGGATCCTTGTAGTGTCTAGGTTGTTGATTATGTGAGCAAACTCACAAACAGGTGGAAGATCTTTAACCTGTGTATGGAGCATGCTCAAATCCAGTAGTTAATTTTAACTTCTTTTCCAAGGCGCCATTTCTTCTCTTTTGCCAGGCTCTTCTGCCTTGAAGAAAACCTTAATACCTGCTGGTGTTGTGCATGTCCTTTTTCATTCTGCCACTGGACTGAGAAGTGCACATTTAGAAGGTGGTGCTTTTTTTTGGTTTTTTGTATAGACAAGATGGATATATCTTTCTAGCTTGCTTTATAGCTTCTTATTCAGGTATTGAGCCATTATCCATAGTGAGTGATAGAGATGGATGCCAGCATTGCCATATCAGTTAATCAGCAGAAGCCAGTGATACTCTTCTTCATTGTGATTTATTAACTCCTACTTTAAATGTAGATGGGGTTTAAACCATACCATCTCATTAAGCTTATCACCATCAGAGGTAGTGAATTAATGTGGATCTGCTTTCAGGTGTTAGTAGGAAGCTGCTGAATGGAAAGTGAAGGTGAAACAGAGCAGAAAAGCTTGATTCTTCCAGTAGATCTTGGCATTTCAGAATCACTTCTAACTTAACAAAGGTAAATGTTAAGTGTTAATCATGTGATTGGCAAGTTCTTCCCAGAAGCCTTCTCTTTCAGAAACAGTTTGGTGTCTACTCCCTCCACCCCTGAATACTTGTAGCAGTCTTACTGCAATTCATTCTTGAAGTTCATAAGTTAGAAAAGTTTGTATCTCATTTTATGTTAAATGAAGTTTTAAAAGCCAGGGAAACTATAACCAATAATACTTCTAAGTTTGTACTGGAGACTGAGTTTTCCAGACACTTAAAAATAAAAGTCAAGGCCTTAAAATTATTTTTGTTACTTCTCTAGCTGTCATTCCCATTCTAGTTAAGTGTACAAAAAAGTGTAAAAGTAAAATGAGCTCCTGAGCCACCTGTCAATGGTCTCATGGCAGTTAGGCCTGAGTGGTGCCAAACTGGCACTTTGTAGCAGCTGCTGAGTGTACTGGCAGTGAACAGTGCATGATACTGCTGTCATGATCAGTTCCTTCAGAATTTTTTTTTTGTTGTGCTGTTTATAATCTCTGGATCTTAGGGGTAACTATTGATTTAACCAGAATGCCCTTCAGTTTGCTCAGGTGGTGCCGTATCCTGCTGTAGTTGTCCTGATTTTGATGATCATACCTTATCAAACCTGATTTCCTTTTATCACAAGATAACCCACCTAGCTGGTCAGGGAAGCCAGTTGATGTACCCTTTTTGGATTTCAGCAAAGCTTTTGAAACTGTCTCTCAGGATCCTTCTGCACAGAATGTCCAGCACACGGCTGGATCACTGGCTCACAGGTTGGGCACAAAGGGTTGCAGTGAATGGGTGGCATCAGAGTGGTGACCTGTCACTAGTGGGGATCCACAGGGTTCCATCTTCAGTCTGTGCTCTTCATTAATGACTTGGAGGCAGGACAGGAAGGGCTACTAAGCAAGTTTGCAGGTGATACAAAACAGGGAGGAGCTGTTGAGTTCCTCTAAGGCAGAGAGGCCCTGCACTGCGACCTTGACAAATTACAGAACTGGGCAGTCACCAACCACTGAAAGTTCAGCAAGGGGAAAGTGCCAGATTCTGCACCTGCATATGGACAGACTGGGGAATGAGAGGCTGGAAAGCAACACTGTGGAAAGGGACCTGGGTGTCCTGGTCAGTGGAAAGTTGAGTTATGAGTCAGCAGTGCCCTGGCAGCCAGGAGGGCCACATCTGTGCTGGGGACATCCCAGCATCACCAGCTGGGCAAGGGAGGGGATTGTCCTGCTCTGCTCTGCACTGGGGCAGCCTCGAGTGCTGGGGGCCGTTTTGGGCACCACAATATAGAAAAGACATTAAACTGTTAGAGAGCATCCAAAGGAGGGCAACAAAGATGGTGAAGGACCTTGAGGAGAAGCCACATAAGGAGTGGCTGAGGTCACTGGGTCTGTTCAGCCTGGAGGAGACTGAGGGGACACCTCACTGCAGTTACAACTCCCTCATGAGGGGAAGAGGAGGGGCAGACCCTGCTCTCTCCGGTGACCAGTGCTGAGGGAATGGCCTGAAGTTGTGTCAGGGGAGGTTGATGTTGGATATCAGAAAAAGGTTTTTCACTCAGGGGCTGGCTGGGCACTGGAACAGGCTCCCCAGCACCAAACCCAACAGAGTCCAGGGAGTCTGGACAATGCTCTCAGGAACGTGGTGTGACTCTTGGGGTGTCCTGTGCAGGGCCAGGAGTTAGACTTGATGGCCTTTGTGGGGCCCTTCCAACTCTGTTTATTTTGTGAGTCCAAGCTTGAATTAGCATATAAACTTGGTACATTCATACTTTCAGTGCTGACCTCTCTGTTTTCACTCTACATATCAAGGGTACATATAATTTCATAATCAATAACATGAAAGTAGGCTTAGGCCTAACTGGGTATCACGCAGGGGCTACACAATCCTTTTGGAGTGCTGTGGCATAACTAAGTACACATGGATGGTATTTCTTCACTCACTGGTAATTTGGTCTGAGTCACCAGATAATGTTTTATAGCAATAGTAACCCTTCTTTAGAATTACACAGCTCAAGTCAAGATTTTATTAGATCTCTAACCAATGTAAGAACAAGACTTGCTAAAGGATTAATTGGTGTACCATTGCAGCTCCTGAAAATAGGCTGGAACTTAATGAGTCATACTAGGTACATACAGTGATACAAAAGTACTGTTTATTTTCAACATCAAAAAGTTACTTTTCTTTGGTTCTGTGGCTTTAAAGTCATTATAAAACCTGTTCACCTTTTCAGGTCTTTAATGTAATGTCAAAAAGAACTAGTATAATACTTGTAAAACCCATCCTGAACACAAGCACTTCCCCCTCCTGTTTACAGGCAAGTGCTGTAAACAGCAACCTTCTGGCTGATTGTCTGTAAGAGGGAGCGAACTGTCTCCTCCAGCTCCACCAACTGCTTGGCTTTGTCTTCCAGAACTTTCTGATTGTTTTCATATGTATTTTCCAAATCTGTAGGCAAAGGAAGGTGAACAAAACAGCTTAATTGGTGGTGTTTTGATGCATGTAAATCATTATAGTTATGGATAAACTACTATTAAAACTTATTTCTGTTGTGGAAGATATTCTCATTGGGGAAAAAACCAAAAAACAAACAAAGCCCCCCCAAAATCAACAAATGGCACCTTTTGTTTCCTTAACATAGGGATGTAAAGGAACAAAGAAGTTATTTTCTAAAGGTGAAAATCCAAAAGTGTATTTTGAGGGTTACAATAATTGTACTTCTATGCTCTACGGTGGCTTTTACAGAACAGTGAAACGTTTTGGCTTGTGATGATTAAGACTACTCAGCAAGTCACAGTAACTGTGCAAGAGTAGCAAAGAGGGGAAGAATGAATTCCTGGCCTGGCAAAACCAGAAGGAAAATTTAATTCTGTCTCTGCTAGCAAGAGGCAGATTGCCTTGTTCTGGTTCAAACAACTTTGTCAACAGTAAATGTTAAATTAAACTGTGACCTGGAACTCCTGTGTCCTGATTAGCTTTTGTTTTAAGAGCTTTCCAGGGGGGGTGAGGGGAGTACTGTTTGGAGATGGGGGTCTTGCTGGAACAGATGAGTCCTTGGCCTGAGCAGAGTAGTTTTGTTCCTTCCCTGTGGTGGTTCTGGGGACAGTGAGAGGTGCCTCACCAGAAGTTTCTCACCTGTAAGTTTCAGCTTATTCTATAGAAATCTTTGCTTCAAAAGACTGTATTACATCCATAATAATAAGGAAAGCAGATCAAGCCTCAGTCACAAAGTAGTACCTTTTCCCTTTCTGCTAATGAATAGCTGGTCTAACAGCATGAAATTGCTTCATGTTCTAAGGTGCCAAATGACCTCCTCAGCAGAGCCTTACCTTTCAGCAGCTGGAGTTTGCTGTTTGCTTGAGCCAACAAGGCTTTAGCTTCATCTTGCAGCACGCCTGCTTTCCTCCTGGCCTCGGCCGACTCCTCTGTCTTCCTGGCAATGAGCTCCTCCACGGTCCTGTATTTGCCGCTGAGCTCGCTGCTGAGCACCTGTTCCCAATGCAAGCACAAGGTGGAGCTCACACAAAGCCAACACAGCAGGAGTCGGCATTTCCTCTCTGTCCTTCACTAATCCAGCTGCCAGGAGAGACCCTGCTGGCAGCTCACTTAACAAAAGCAGAAACGGTGCCAGGGTATTTCCTACTTTCTGTCCAAGACTAGGAGCTGTGGTGAAGACTCATCAGTTGCTCTTCTGCACATCTGTGGCTGTTTTACAGCTTCAGTACTGGCACTTGGCAGAGATTTATGGGATTCAGTTACAGGGTTCTGTAACTAATGCAAGCCATGGCCCCTAGAACTGCTGGAAAGCTACACCTGGCACTGCTCCTGGCTGAGTGCTTGCATCTGGGGAGGAATAAATACCCTTGCTACCCTTTCAGCTCAGGAAGTGAACTAGCTGCCCAGCTGGTGTTAGTGAAAGTCGTGAGGTTGGTTTCTCAGCTGTCCTTTTGTTGTGGGGTTAAGATTAAGAAGTCCTATGGCCCAACTAAATTCAACCATTGAGCAAGATAACAAACCATAGCAGCACTGGAATTCTCTTGTGTTTACTTGACAGCATCAGAAATTCTACTTAGTGTTTGGATATTGTTGAGTTGATGGATAATGCAGGTCTCCTGTCAGAAAATGGCTCTCTGGAGATTGGTAGGCTAACTACAGACAAGAGATGGGAGCAATGAAACTTCCTTTGGCAGATTGGTCAATTGTTTTGTTAATGAACATTCTTTTGCTATTACAAAAGTGTGTAGCAAACATTGGGAGTAATGCCATATGGTCACAGAGAAAAATCTTGCATCTCTGATATTCAGCAATTACTTCAGTTTTTTGTTAGGATAATTATTTTTCCTGCTGCTTGGTTCTGTATATGCCAAATTCTGGTTTGTTTGTTCTGAACCTATCATTGTCATAGAACCATAAATACTCTACACAAGTGGAAAAAAAAAATTCCAGTTCTCCTGTGACATATAGTAAAGCTGAGGAACAGAAACCTATCTGTGAAAGGCTGACAGGTTTCCTGCAGCTATTTCAGAACCTGAAAACTTCCCAATAAATCTCTCTCAGGATCTGATACCAAAGTGAAACGTTGCTATCTTTGTTAAGAGCATAAATGTTGGATTTTCTACCCCCAGAATATGAACAATAAATGTGACAGATGACATGGATTCATTGATCTCCCTTTAGCCAAACATGGGGAGTTTTGCTGGCTTCTCTTTAGGATTGTTCCTGAGCTTCTCACCTTTTGAACTTCTTCAGCATTTTGTTTTGCACTATTAATTTTGTCTTCTATATTTCCCACAGTCCCTGAATTTGTAGCAGCCTTTTGCCTAAGGTCTTCAACACTCTTCTCTAGCTCAAACAGACGTAAGGTAGCATTGTTCAGTGTTTCTGCAGATGCTGCATTTTCAGATTCAATCTAAGAGAAAGAAGAATGAGAGTTAGACTTCAAAAGACAATGGATATAATACTAGACTTTCTCCATAAACCCTGCTCAACTAACTAGTTTGTGTCCATATATCTGAGTTAAAAGCAGTGTTTTAGTTTTGCTAAAAATGGCCCACTGCAGCCAGGGTGAAAAAGCTCAGTGCTTGAGAATGGTACATATGGGGCTGCACAAGCATTAAGGAACATGGTCAAAAAGTATTTGATTGCATTATACACACAAGAGTTGACTAATCCACTGACAAAACTTCAGACATTTGACTCCATTATGTGATAATGGACTTGTGAAGCTTCTAAACTGGCCAAGTTTCATAAGTAGAGATAGCACTGTGGTCTCATGAGACCTTTGAGATGAAGTCTGCAAATACTTTATCTGACAAGATTGTAGCACTTGGCACTTCAATCCAGCCTTTCTTTATTTTAGTCTGGTGCTGTAGTGTGGATGACACTGAGCACACCAATGCACAACCAGTGTGGCTGACAGGTGTGGCTTGCCAGGGGTCTTGTCAGACCTGCTGGTTTAGAGGGCTACAATCCTGCTCATTTAACTTGGCAGGTGCAGGATACGGGGTGAGAAAAGCCTTATGGTGTTTGTTGTTGTTGTTGTCTGGTTTGGTTTTTTTATGAGCAAAAAGTCCCCACTTAAAAGTTGATGTGAAGGCAGGAATGGTTTAGATGCATTTTATCTGCAGCCTTTGCTTTGCAGTACCCAAGAGCTTTCCCTAGACAGGCTACATCAGTTTCTGAGCATCAGACTTGGTGTTGTTTCTATTATGTTAAGAAATACTCGTAAAGAACTCACCGAAGTCAGCAAGTCTTGAGTTCCTTTAATATCTTCATCAGCTTGTTTGATGGCTTTTTCAGCTGCATTTTGAGCTTTTTCAGCTTCTTCCAGTGCTGCTTTCACCATGTCTGCAGTGACTTTAACATCTGTTGCCCCTTTGCTGTGGAGCAAGATTGTTAATGCTAAAAATGCTCTTACTTTGGAACTGAAAAAAGAACATATGCTGCAACGGGCTGGTTTTGCCCCTTACTGAAGGAATGAGAATTTACATCAGGGAAAGTTAAACTGCACTTTCTGATGCAAAGAGATGAAACAGGGCTGCATACCTTGCTCTTTTAGCTTCCTCCAGTAGCATTTCTGCCCTGGCAATGTCTCCAGCACTCTGCTGCAGAATGACCTCAACATCAGAAAGGCTTTCTACACGCTCACGAATATCTTCTGTCAGGGCCTGCAGCTGCTGGGGAGTGCTTGGCATCTCCATGCTCAGCACTTCATTAGCCACTGCCTCAATGCTATCCAGGTCAGCACTGTCTTCTAGCAGATGGACACAAATGACAGAGATGTGAGTAAAAGCTTCTCTCTGTCAAATCTCAGCACTCAAATTCTGTTCAGCTGCTTCCTTAAGAAGGAAAATAATGAGAAAACTTCCTCCCCCAGATGTATGGAAAATCAAGGTGTTAAAAGTTACTTTAGGTGAAACTTCCCTCTCAGGAAAGGCCCAGCAGGTGTATAGGCCCTGCTGGCACAGCTCTCTTGGAAGCCATTTGAAGATCTTGGTGCTCAGCTGCACCACTCTGGGAGGACCCGAGCCCACAGGAAACAAAACCAACAGCTGCACGTAGATGTATTTGTGCTCCCAGCACAGTCAGCCCTGAGCAAACAGGCAAGGAATGGGCTGCTGGCAAACAAGGCTCTCATTTAACCTTTTCTTGCTTTCTTACACAGAGAGAAATGCAGTTTCTGACTTCCTTCCCCTTTAATACTACTTTGTCTTTCTAGCCAGAACTTACAGACATACTTGGCAAAGTACAGCAGTACAAAAGCCTCAGCTGAAAGGCACACAAGAACATGTCACAGTTTGCTCTCACTTTCTTATTATCTTGGTTTTCTCTTGTTTTTTCTCATGTTTCCAGATTTCATCATACACACTGTCTGTCTAAGGGAGGTGTGGGGAATGATGACAACTGTTGAGCTAACTCTTGGAAGATAATACAGATGTAAAGCTGGTTTTCACAAACCCAGAATTAAAATATTATTAAAATGTAACGTTCTTACGCATTAGGAAGTCTCTAATCTGTTTAATAAGATTTCTCAGATCTTCATTGCTTCTGTCCACTTGTTCTTTCGTAGCATTGGTTTTAAGCAAAACTGCTTGTGCATTTTGTTTTGCTTCATCTGCTCTCTGTTTTGCCTCAGAAACCTAAAGAAAGGAAAATGGAAGGCTTGCTTGCTTATCTTCTTATGCTTTAGGGCTTGTTTTAAAACTTGTTTTAAAAATTCATCTGGAGTCAAGTAATAGTAACAAGGAATGCTTTTTCTCATAAAACTCACAGAACACTTGGAAGCTGGCCCCGATCCATACCACCAGTGCTAGTTTAAACAACTCAGGCTGATGTTTAGTTATGCATGAAGCTTCACTCTAGCAAGCTCCCTTTCTGAAGATATTTACAAGCATGATGAAGTTACACAACCCAAAAGAAGTATTTTCTGCAGAAAACCAGCACACACTTTATCAATTAGAGTCTGTGCTACAACAGACAGATTTACCCTTTTCTTTTTCAATATCTTAACAATTGATTTGACTTATTACCATTCTGGAGAGTTGCTCAACTTCTGCTAATGCACTGAGGATGTCTCTGTCAAAATCCATAGCCTTCTGCCAGGCATTGTGAGCCACGGTCACCAGCCCGTCACAGCCGGGGCCTCCACACTTCTTCTTGCCCTCGTCTGTCCGACAGCTCAGCCCCCCGCACTCGGACTCGGCACACGAGGCTCCCGGGGCACTGCCACACGTCTGCAGGGACACAGGGGAGCCAGTCACAGCCTCATGTCCATTCCATTGCCTGGGGGCTGGAGTACGACACTGTTCCACCACAACATTTCAGAGCCAACTTCTTTTCCAAGAAGCAAAACTATTTCTATCAGCAACACTGTGCTGAGAGTTATCCGCTGCTTGGTCAATTGTTTGGTAATGAAATAACACAGGAGCTGGTTTAAGCAGAGGGAAAATTAGAAAATTCCCTGTTCTTGTGAGGCTCTTTTACCTTTTCATGCCCCCCCAAACCCTCTTTTTTGCCAAATGATAGTCACTAACTCAGGTTTTGCAGCCAAAAAACCTCTCTGGAAAAACCTAGGGGCTGAGCCAAGTTAGCTGCAGCTGTCTCCTGTGAAGTGCAAATGAGTCCCTCTTACCTGTTTGGCACGTAACCCAGCAGTAGCTAGAAAGCAGAAAGATATTTGTGTGTATGTGTCTGTGTGTCTGTGTGTGTGTGTGTGTGTGTGTGTGTGTGTCTTATGATTACACCTCCAAGCAACTCAGTATTTACTGCCTTGATAAACATCTACCCAAGACTTCAGTTCTTAAGAACAGTCAGGGCAGGAATGTAGGGGAAGGGAAACTAAACAGAAAGATGTCTCTTTCTTCCCTTCAGAGAAAAAAAGGAGGGCTGAGGGAGTGGGAGGGATGACTGGTTGTAAAGGACAAGGGACAATCAGAGTGTGAAGAACTCACTCTCTACCACAGGCCTGGCCTCCCTGGGGGAGTTAATGAGGGGTGCCCTGCAGCCTGCCTTCACCCCGGGGTTGTTCAGGGATTGTTCTCTGAATGCAGCTGGCCAACTTCAAAGAGAAACTGAGGAACACCCAGCCTCTCCCAAGAAAAAGCCATCCTTAAACATATTTACAGATGAGCAGGCACCTTCAACAGAGAAAATGCCCTTTTGACTCCATCTCCTTGTAAATTCTGCTTTGTCTCGAGCAGGAGGATGAGCCTGGGGGGATGCTGAGGCCCAGGGGTGTGTGCAGAAGCACAGCCTGGCCGGGCACTGTACAGGCACAGAGTGCATCTGATGGAGCTGCAGAAGGGAAGAGGGGAGCTTAGGGAAAGCAAGCACTGAACTCAGGATAGGTTGAAGAGGATGGCTCTCAGCCCAGCAGATTTGCCACACTTTCCTGCATGTGGGAACTCTGTCCCTGGCAAAGAACATTGGATTAGAACAGGGGTGATGCAAAAACAGGTGCTCTGTTGGGGCTGGGAAGAGTGGGAGGAAGACCAACATGAAAGGCTGGTCTTTGAAAGCCAGTAGTGGCAGAGCCCACCAGTTAAACAACCCAGTTCCAGCTCACAAAACTGAGGGGTTGCTTAACCAAGCAAGGTGCATTTCTCATGAACCAACTGCACATCTCACACTGCCACATCCCCTACAGCTCCTCCCTGCCCCTTGCTTCATCACAAGCCCAAGTCTCTTTCTGCCATGGGTTTATCCCAGCCATTCTCAGCTGTGTACCTTCTCAGCCACCTCAGAGAGATCCAGGCTCTGCAGCTTCCCAGCGAGTTCATCCAGAAGGCGCGACTGCTCCTCTTGGTTAGCCTTGAACTGGGCCTCCTTCTCGTTGATCAAGTCCTGCACTTCCTGCCGCGTCCGCGCTGACAGCTCCACGGCGCTGTCGGGATCAACGGTGGAGGCATTGACCCTCTCCTCTGCCTCCTGGGACATCTGGAAATACTTGGTGATACTGTCCAAGGCTCCTGCAGAAATCAGAGGGAGCTGATGAGAACTCTGTTGAGTAACCCAGAGTAATGCATCTCACAGATGTTAGCGGATGATACATCAGAGCTAGTGATATTCACATTAAAGGAAACGCTGGCCTTGGCAGCTGTGCCATTGCAAGGATGACAGAATTTGGCCTCTTGTAGGAAAAAAGTTTGCTTCTTTGCTTGGTGGAGAGTGTCAAGCTGGTCTTTGAAGTTAAGCCTTTCTCTGACCCTAGTGACTGAATTCTGCCTGCCCTAAGGGCAAGAGGAAATACAGCCTTTGAAGGTTTTCAGGGGAACAGTTTGTTTACTAAGGATTCCCTTATCCCATCAGTTCTTACTGCTTGCCCTGGGATGTCTGGATTATGGAGTCACTGCTTGGAAATTGGTCAGAGCTTTCCTAAGAAACAACTGCTTGATGAAAGATGCTGATTTATGGAACTGCTGATTTTGGACAGCTCCTGGAGAGGCCTTGTGTGGGTGTGAAGGATCCTGTGGGGGTGGTTATACTCTGCACCTTGGGGCAGCTTTCCTTTGCCAAATGCCAAAAGTCAGGGACTCCCATATTCCCACATGCCACTTGCCTCAGTCTATCCCCCATGCTCACTGGAAACAACCTCAGACTTCCTGAAAACCAGGAAACATACAAGAAAAATTATAAATACTTTACTTGAAGTCAGCTTTCCAAATAATTTGGTGACATTCCTCTTCCTCCAGCAAATTTTGATTTTTGGCCCATTTCAGTGTGCCAATGGACATGCTAGACTTGGGTGGGTCAGGAGAACTGGACCCTTTACCACAAGCTCTTTTTTTTTACCCAGAAATAGCAATTTAACAGACTGAAGGGAGCAAGGGAGATGTCCAGACATATCTTGAAATCTGTGGTACACTTTCTTCTGTTGTGTCTCATCTACAATGTGTTCAGCATGATACCTTAAGAAAATTTTATGCCCCAAGAATTTGAGCCAGCTTTGCAATGTGCAGAGGAAGAGAGACCAGATGAGGGGCCAAAAATTCCTGCGTATCAGCAACTCTGCTAATGCACAGAAAGAACCTGTCCCTGAGGAACTGTGTTTTATTACAAGTTAAGATTAATCTGGTACTTAAACCCATGCATCAATTAAATCTTTGGCCACCCTGCTGCTTTCTCCCCCTCCCTGTGACACTTACCCCGAACATCAGAGATCTTGATGAACTCTAGCTGCTCTGCAAGCTCTTTCACGACGTGGTCCAGACTTTTGGCATCTGTCTCCAGTGCACTCAGGTCTGTGTCTGTGCTATTGCTCTTTGCTGATAAGGCTGATAGGTTTTCTTCTATATCAGCTATCTTAACTGTAACATCTGCTGTCAGCTTTCTGTAAAAGAGGCACAGGACTCAGCATGGGGAGGAAGACGGGTCATAGCCTCATACTTCACTGGAGCATGGTGGCCAGAGATGTACCCCAGAGATGGCCAGAGCTTCTCCCATGGCAGGACCTGTCCTCCCTCAGTGGAGCTCCAAGTGATTTGTAACAACATGCCTACCTAAAATACTGTTATGTTTCCTTTAATATACAAACCTACCTTTTAACCTACAGCACATTTATAAACCCAAAGTGCCAAATCACTCAGAAAACAGCTGCATTGTGTAAGATTAACTGGAGGGAGATTCCAGAGGACTGGAGTAATGCTCTTGTATCATGGCAACTGCATAGGTCAGAGTTGACTACTATGATCCATACATAATTTGCTCCCCATCCCACACAGCTCAAATGTAGTTTTGATTACTACGAGCTCATCGGACAGAATTGAACTTCAGGAAACAGGGAGGGGGGAGCCTTAGTTTTAGCACAATGGATTCTTTAAACTCTTCTGTACAGATCCCTCCTCACCAGAGTTTTGAAGGAAAACCTCCTGCTCTAGGCATTCACTCAGTGAGCCATGGAGCAGGCTTTAGCTAATGGGATAACCCTAAAAGGAAAAGCAAGTGAGTTACATGTCAAGGCCGCTGTGGAACAGAAGTGGGCATAGGAAGCTATTCCCATCCATGGTGATCCCCTCAAGCCAAGCATTTCCTCACTCTGAAAGAATCAAGGCAGTACTTAAAATCTAAGATCAATTTACAGCTCTCTCAGTAGTCTAACAGCCTGCTGTTTTCCAGGACTCCTCCAAAGCCCAGTACTTTCTATACAGCCAGAGAGGAGCAAGAACAGATACACCTAAGGCAAGTTAGGCAAAAGCAGCCCCTCAGCTGTTCTGATCTCCCTCAATACACACAGAGTCCAGAAGTAGCAGCAACCCTCAGCTCTCCAGCAGGAGGGAAGGGAGCTGTAGGACACAAACTATTCCTAATTGAGACATTTGTGCTTTAATCCTCGCCCCTTTGCTTTGTGCAGTTCCCTTCACAATGCACAAGCAAGTTGGAGCAGTGGCAGACAGAGCTAGAAAGCCTCTGTAATCCTACTTAATGTTACACTGCCCCATCTCCAGACTACCATCTTTTGTATGCTTAGCCCGAAAAGAAAATACAAGGCTTCTACTCTCCGAAAAAAGGAAACAATCCGTGTTACAAACCTGGTGCTTCCTCCAACACATGCTCAGCGTGCAGAAAGAAGCCCAAGTTTCCAACTCATCAGCTACACACGGAAATCCAGGAATTTAATCTCTCCCCCTCTTCATTCTCTCACATAATAGCAGTGTTTGTCCTTTGCCCTGGGGCAGCACAAGGCAAGCATGAGTGGCTCCCCAGTAATTATCTGCCTGGAGAGCAGTGGGAGCAGGACAACCCAGACCAGCACGTGGCAGCTGCACTGTTCCCGCCTGTCCCACCAGCTTTCTGCCCAGTGGGAAGGGCACTCACTGCCAGGGCTGAGCATGGCAAGGGGCTCCAGCAGCCACAGCACCCTCACCCAGTCAGTGCCCTCAGCCCAGCATGGAGACATCAGTCACTCAAGTAAATCCCAGCTCACTGGAACTCCCACTTCTTCCCAAGACACACTGATCCATGTAACTACAACTACTCACTCTGCTTCCTCGAAGAGATTCCCAATGTTCTTCAAGGGCTCGGCTGCTGGATTTTGAGCGATGATGGTTTTAATTTCACTGAGCTTCTCCTCCAGTGTGTTGAGTGTCTGCTGGTATGGGCCAGTGACTCCAGTGATTTTGAGGGTATTAGCCCTGTCCAAGAACTGCTGGGTCCTATTAGCCAGCTCGCTGATGATCACATCCCAGAGGGCAAAGCACTGGTGGCAGGGCACGCAGTCAGGGAAGACACCAGAGTAGCCCCTGGAGCACTTGTCACAGTGCAGCCCTTCCACCCCCTCATTGCAGATGCACTGCCCTGTGGCACGGTCACACTGCGGGGTCTGGATGCCACGAGGGTTGCAGTCACATGCTGGGAGGAGAAAAAGGCACATGTGAGGGCCATGGATGTTGGCAGGGTGGGGAAAAAAATCAGTTATTATAAAATGAATACAGATGTGGTCGGTGTCTCAATTATCAAAAGCTAATTATGGATGTATCACACATGTATATGGAGGAAGCAAGTGTGAGTGAGAAAAGGGAGAGAGATGGGGAAATAACTCTAGAGGAGATCAGGACTTGCACATCTTGGAAATAGGAACAATAATGGAGCAAGGATGGACACCAATTGCAATGTTCAGATGTCAGCTGAATAGCAACTGAAAACAAAGATCCCAGTTTCTCTCCTGCAATGAAGAGCGAGTAGAGCAAGGCTCTTGGGACAGGAAAAGAAGTGGCCCATAGCAGAGGGTTTAAGAGCAAACCATGACAGAAAAAGGAAAATTTAACTGGAACAGCCATTTACCGTCTCCTCCAGCAGAGGAGTAACAGTCAAGTGAGGAATCCTGCAAATCATAAACCAACTACCTTCCCCTGCCCCTCCCACAAACAGCACACTAAAAGGAGATAACTGAGTACACAGCACTTGGTTAAGCGGAGGAGCTCTGTTCCATAAGGTGCTGTGGGTGTTAAAAGTGCAATGGGTTTCCAAGAACAGGACAAATCCATGGAGCAAAAGCCCTTGCGAGATCTTGCAGGCAGAGGTACAGGGACTGGCTCAGAACATGCTCCTGCCATGGACAGTGGGAAAACATTCACAACACACACTGAGGAGCCTGGCACTGGGCTGACATTTTGGGTATATAGAAAATCAGGAAAAAAAATCTAGCAGTGAAAAGTAGAATAGAATAAAGAATGTGGTCATGGGTAGCCCTGTAGTGTTTGAGGTGTTAAGGACCAAGAGCCTGCATGCTGTTTGTCACCCTCAATGTCACCCTCAGTGGAAATGAGGACACTTAACAGATTTATAAATTTTTCAAAGTTATTTCACACTGAGCACCAACTTCAGAGTTAGTATTCACACCTTCATGAAATGCATTTCTTTGGCACTAACCCATCACAGAGAGAAGTTACTCACTTAACTGAGTGATGCACTGTCACTGCTGAAAGCACAGACACACTCTGTACACAATAATGCTATCAGGAGAAGCATTTCCATGCAGCAAGGCTGCCACTTGACCTTCTTAATTACACAGGAGGCAGCAGCAGCAGAGGACATCACCAACATGCAAAGCTTTTAGTAAAGAGATGGCAGCAAGCAACAAAAAGAGAGGCTTTGAAAATATGCACATCATCTACTTATCATCATGGCAGAGTGCACCCAAAACAGGTCAAGCACATGTTCCCTAAACAGGAAAAGGACTGGCATACCTGATAAAACCCCTCACTTACACATCCATTTACCACATAGGCATTCTCTAAGGAAGTTAAATGGCTCAAAACCCATAAATCAATTCACACACCCAAAGCAAACGCCCCCTTGAAAATAGGGCAAAACACAAAGCTGTTTTCAAGACTGTACATTGTTTGCTTCAATGCCAGAGCACAGTGGTGGTCTTCAGTTCAAAAATTACACAAAGAGCCCCAGCAGAACAAATCGCTCCTCAACAAAACGACTTTCTTGTACAACGTGAGTATGATAGGCAAGAGACAAAAATAACTTCTGCTGCCTGCACAATTGAGCAAAACGGTCTTTTGTTCTTTGAACTATACCCTGACACAAGAGATTGTTTTTACTTTACATTGAAAGTGCTTAAGTAGTCAACTCACCATGGAATATGTTCCCTGCAGGCAAACCGTTGAGTTCCTGTTTGAAGGTCAGTTAACCCTTCTGTCAACTAATAAGGCCCTTGGTATAATGATGAATTGTCCAAATTCCTCTGTATAGAAAGAGGCTAAATGGCATGTGGTTTTTCTCAAAGATCCTGAGGACTGATCAAGTTACATGAATACTTGCTGCTGGCAAATCAGATCACTATATTTACTTGCAGATTTAAAAGGCTTAATGTGAAAAAACCTCCGTAACCCCATATTGGTAATTCTACTCCTGAATACCTGCATGTTCAGGAAAGCCAGATGACATGGTTTTAGTAGCATTTACATGGTAAAGTGGATTCCAAACTCTCTGCAACCAGAAAATACTAGGGAAGGAGAGAAAATAATTTAGGTACTAACATACTGTTTGGAAAGTGAAAACCCAAACTCCACAGCTGCCTGTTAGGGGATGATAAGAGCAAAGAAGTAATTTATTCTAAATGCAGAGCAACAGTTGGAAGAATACAGCCCTACAAAACTCCCAAACCGAGCTTTGCAGGACCATGAGAAATTGCACACGGCAGCTAGAAACATTACTGTGTCTTATTTCCCCATTTTAAGATTTTTTTATCAAGCCCACAAGCAGGCAATCCTGGCTCTGAATTATCTTAGCCCCTCAATGAAATGTATACAGAATGGCTTTCAAAAGTGCTGGTTTCCTATTGCTCTTCCTCCTCTTCACCATCTTCCCAAGACATTAACCCTATACAGGACCTCACCAGATTTCACCCCTAACCATCTCTAACACCTCTAGTGATGAGTCCTGCTCCTTGTGCCCTGGACACCTCCACCAGGCATTTCACAGCCCAGCAAGGAGCACATTCAAGCCACTGAAGAGGAACACCTCCCCTTTATGTCATTGTAGGGATCAAACCCTCTACTCACTCCAGCTGTGGCCAGTTCTCAAGAGAAGGAAAGCAAGCCCAAGCCAAGGTCATGTAAAAGCCTTCTCCCTAGTGAGCAGCACCTTGAACACTGCAATCCACCAGGCAAATAGCTTAGTGCCAGCTTTCACCTCTGCCTCAGGCAGTGCCTGCCTGCCAAGAACCTGCTGGCTTCAGTCTCTTTGACTGAAGGGCATGACTTCATCCTAAAGGAACAGTGACAGTGGCAGGATGTATGTGAGAGTAAAGGAGGCCCTCTGAGCTGGCACAGACTGGAGAACACTGGCACGGGATTGGCAAAGAGCTCATGGAAGAACAACTGAGTTACATATCTATCATTCAAGATGGCACATGCACCAGAAAATTCCTGTGACATTATAGTATCACTGCCAATGAACTGGGATGTGAATACCAGAGATACCTGCTAGAAACAGAGCAAACACCAGTCAGAGTAATCCAGCACACCATGCTCAGTATCATGTTTGACCAAAGTACCCACCATCACTGCTAGCCACAGCAGAGTTCTCATTCCCCAAACACCTCCTTTTTATGTCCAACTATTCCTATGGCCATGGTGGGATTCAGAAGCAGTCCTGTACCGAACAGGCTCACTCAAACACAACCTTCAAAATATTGCTTTGCTCAGGAGATTTTGACTCCAACCAGCACACTCCTAAATCTGATGTAACACCTGAGTAATAAAACATATCCAGTATTGGCATATATCTGGTTAATCTGAACTTTTTCAAGAATAAGAAACACACAAGCACATCTAGGGATGCAGATGTGCCTGCAGATGTTTTAGATGTGGCTTAGTAGCTCCAAAACAGCTTATGTTCTACTTATATGTGATACAGGGAAAGACAAAGTCCTGTAAACTCCTTTTATATGGCTTCCCTATGCTTACATGACAAGAAACTGGAAAAGTAGTTCATTTTGCACTGCAAAATCAAACAGATGTTGAGTTTACTTCAAGATACTCGGATGCCTTGACCACTTTGAGTTGGAAATGCCTTTCAAGACAAATGGTTGATTAGTCTCCCTTCAAGCAGACAGATGGCCCAAAGCCAAGGTGAAGGGCTGAAAGTTAATGCAGACACGGCTGCTTGCACTGAAGATCAGTGTTAGACAGGCTTCAAATCTGTAAGCAGAGCAGGACATAGCAGTATCTCCCATGGAAAACACAGTGGAGGAAAAGAAGTCTTTTGAAATCGTTGGCCCAAGATTTAAGGGCTTTCAAAGGAGCATTTACTAAATTAAACAATAGGTTTTTGTTTTGAAATGTCATTTTGGAACTAGGCGTATTGTTTTCTTTAACTGAGTGTGTAACTCAATCAGTGATTCTTTTGTGGCATACTTCAGCTTCAGGGAAACCATATTTTTGGAAAAGTTTAGGCCAAATTCTTCAGCCAGGATCTGCTGATTAGCAGATTTATGAGGATTGTAGCTGCATCTGTTTACAAATGCAAGTGCATGTATGTGCATGCACACACTGAATATCCATGGGTAATTTTTGTATCACCTTCATCAGAGCATTTATTCTCCTTCTTTTTCCTGATCCTCAAGAGAGAAGTAACACTCAAACATGTATACCAAATGCATTCATGTAAAAACCTAAGAAGAGAAATCCAAAAGAAGCAAGAACCTAGCTTCAGAGGTTTGCTTTAAGCTCAAAAGGATCTGAGAATTGCTTTATCTTTTACCTACTCTGACAGCTCTGCTATCTTTTCCTCTGATTTCAAATATTTAGAACTCACTTGCATTTAAACTACTCTAATTCAATATGCAGTATATTTGCACATCACTTAATTTAAACTCGGGTGTGTCAAAGCACTTGATACTAGAGCAGAGGTGACAGGATGGATACTGAATGGGCTGTATGAAGACCAGTATCAGTGTCCAATTCAGGAACAAACAAGTGTTGTACATCATCCTATGCTGAATAGAAATCATTTTTCCAGAAATATTTTTTTTACTGCTTGAGACTGAGGGCGGCAAGCATCAAATGTTTAACTCCTCCAGAGAAAAAACACAAAGGTTTTGTTCAAACATGATTTCCTGGCACAATTTCCCAGTGGTAGTGAGGCCCTGTGATAAGAAAACCATTCAACAGCTTTTAAGATCGAAAGTTTTGCAGAGCTAGCAAATTTCTTCTGAATAATCAGCTATTGATTCAAGTTACCCTGCAAGCATAGTGCTAACTCCTCAGCATTATGATTTTCAGTAGGAATATTAATGTAAGATCCCAGTCTAAAATTACCAGAGTTGTGCTACATCTTAACATGCTAGCACACCATGCCAAAAGGACAATTTTCTGGAAATAATCAATACACATTACAGTACTTTATGACCCTAGGTAATTTAAAATTATGAAACTCCAAGTGAAAATTATATTTTTTTTAGCATAGAATTTGTCTGACTTCCTTTAGGCACTTCTCACAGAAGGAAACAAGACATCTCTAAACACCAAAAACATCTCCTAAAAAAGCAGCCTATGTGACTAGTTTAAGATCCAAGTGTTAACATTTTAAGACTGCAAAACTTATTCTTACATGGCAATAGGGCAATTTTTAGTGAACTGCTGTTCCTGCACCAACCATACAACAAAGACTAAAAACTGAAAAAAACAACATTCTTGTCAATGCATGCAGTGTGTATTTGACAAAAAACATGATTTTTTTCATTGTAGTTTAATTAAATTCTGTGATTCTGCAGTAAGTCTTGATACTCATGTCCAACACAGGACATGCTCCTTGTGAAGGGGCTAATAGCAACACCACCTACTTCCAATCTCACACGGTGCCTCCTACTAACTGCACTCCAGTCTGCTTGTTCAACTTATTACAACAGTAATGATAGTAAAATTGTCATCTCCTTCATTTTAGGAGATGACAATGAAATATAAATTGTAAGTATTTATTGTGCAAAGGCATTGTTTGAGCTGCATCTGCAGCCACTCCACACTCAGGCTTCCCAGGAGCCTGCAGCCTTCTCCTGGAGATCTGCTTTGTGGGTTGAAGCTGGTGCAGAACTCGGCATGCTGAGTCCTGCACTTTAGTTGCCAGGCTTTGGAAAAGCTCCAGCAGAATGCCTGGGAGACCTGAATGTGATGAACTCTGTACTGCTATTATTTGCTCCCTTAGGCAGGATTTTTATGCACACACACACGTTCACAGGCAGGCTCGTGCAGAGCTGCAGCCAGCTCGAGGCTGCAGCAATGGCAGAAGAGTTCTGCCAGGGGACTGGCACTGCCTCCAGAGCAGGTGATGCTCACAGCACAGCTCCTGCCCACTGTAATCCTCCCAGGGACCTCTGCACCAGCTTGGTGAAAACTGCGTCCACACTCACAAGGTTCAGAGTTTTAGCTCTTCTCCATCCAGATTTGTTCCTATTTTGGTCCTGAATGCATCACAAAGTGTGGCCATACTGGCTGCTTGGGCCAGCAAGAACACGCCAGGTGGCAAACGCCACGGCAGGAGTCCACATGTTCCCTGCAACTGGAGCAGACATCTTTGTGACAAAGCCTTGTCTCAGTTCCAGCTTCACTGGCTGCAGGCCAGATCTCTGCTGTTTTCCAGGGACACTGCTCAGCAGCTCCTTAAATGGCACAGTTTTCTGCTCGCAACCCTCTTATCCCAGAGAGCTGCTACCTGCCCACGCAGCAGCTGCAGCTCTGCCAGCCTGAGCATCACCTCTCACTCCCCGGGGCTAAATGAGGGCTGAGGAGCCAATTGTCTTCTTGCCAAGGAGAGACAGGAGACAGGCAGGAGGCACTGACCCCAGCACACCAGGAGAGCCTGCAGCACCACCCGGCTGGATGTGTTCCACGAGCCAGCACACGCCTGGAGCCTGTCCAGAGCATCACACTGCAGGCTGCCACTGCTCAGCCCTGGGCAGCAGCCCTACCTACCTGCCACAGGGACCTCCTGCTGGATGTAATCATGAAGGAAAATCTGCCTTTCCACCTGAGGGAGTCTCCTCTGTCACTAGGGCACAGAAGGGATGGTGGACTGGAAGGGGAGTGTAGATCTCACATGGTAAAAACAGGCTCTGAAGAATATATTGTCTCTTTACTTCAGAAAAATTAAAGCAGGTTTTCACATGTTCAAAAGACAGCAGAAACTCCACGAGAGATCAGAAATGATGCTATGCTGCAAAACCCTGCCGATAAGGTATGCAGATGGACTCCATCAATAAACCCTGATGGAGACAACTGATAGCAAAAGACAATCCCTGCCCTGGAGCCAGCAGGGTCAGCACACCCCTTCCCATGTCAGAACACATACAGCCTCTGAAAGGCAGCCTTTCCACAAGAAACCCAATATGTACTCAGGAACTGGGGCAACTCCCCAGTCCTTTCATCTGCTGCAAACCAAGTAGCTGTGACCTGCCTATCTATCAAGATAATGGGCTCTAAGGTATCTCTATTGTAAGGGATTTATTAAAGACCACAGCAAGCACATTCCTCCCTGCAGGAAAAAATACCTTAAATCTATTGCAAATCCTCCTGGCAAGGGCTCCTATTTGAACAGATCAGAGATACAAGTTTGTTCTGGTCTGGACAATGTCTGAAGTTTCTTTTCCAGCTAATGAACAGACTTGTTTATAATGAAAGGACAGAGGCCATCCAGTTTTCTAAACAACCTACTTCATGGTGCTCTGTTTTGCAGCATGTAGCTATGGCTAACCCACTGCATGGTCTCTGCTTTCTCCTTTATTTTTATCTGAAATATAAGGAAAGTCTCCTACTAAATAAAAATATCTCTACTCTCTGTATGAAGGCACAAGAGACAAGGGTCTTCAGCTACGTACAATTGAAAGGCAAAGGAAACTGGTTTCCAGAACAATTCTCAAACTCAAATGCTTGTGATATGTTTTCTTATCATGCTGGCCTACCTGACAGAATTGCAATCTTACCCTTAAGGAAGAGTTGCTTCTAAACAGAGAGGTTTGTTTCTAAATAAAGGTCAGACAAGAAAAACACAGACAAGCACAGGCCTGGCCTCCTGTCACATGTCCCATCCTGCAAGGCACCAAAACCCCAGGGCAGACTCCACCATGCCTTTGTCCCTCTTTTCCAAGGCTCAAGTGGGCTGGTCCCAGCAGGGGTGCCCCAGTGAACCGGGCTGTGATGGTGTGCTCAGCCACACAGACATTTTCAAAAGGAGCAGGCACCAGGGTTGGACTCACCTAAGCACTCCACGCTTGGGTCACCCCAGAAGAGCTCCTGGCACTCCCGGCAGGTCCGGCCTCCAAAACCCGGCATGCAGTGGCACTGCCCTGTGAACTGTCAAAGGCAAAAAGCAAACCCATCAGTGAGCCCTCAGCAGCTCACCCTGCCCCAAGCAGGGGCTGAGCCTTGGGCACAGGGCC